TGTGTGTGTGTGTGTGTGTGTGTGTGTGTGTGTGTGTGTGTGTGTGTCTTTTCCGGTTTCTTCTTCTTGTATAATGCTTCTCTTTCTGTGGTAGGTACCACCGATGGTTTTACTTCAGGCCATCGAAACATAACAAAGCTATCACTGTTCCCAGGAAAGAATCTCTTAGAAAGCAAATGGCAGTTAACCGAGCCTTGGTTCCCCTAGTAGGAAACAATGGATGCTGGGACCTGTGGTGAACTATTGTGAAAGTAATGAGACTTTGCCCCAGGGAGGCAACCTTAGATTCCTCTCTCCCTTGGTGATCTCATCCATTCCCCTGGGTTCAATGATCAGATCTATACAAATGACTCCCAAATCTACATAACCAGGTGTAGTCCCTTCCCTAGTGTTCATCACCAATCACCTCTTGGAACCTTGAACTCAACCAAGTCTCAATCAGGCGCCATGTTCTTCTGACAAATCTACCTCCACAACACTTGCTTATCTCCCTCCCCTCTTCTACACTTAGGTCACTGCCACCCCCCTTCAGACCATCATCATTGCTCACCTAGACAACTGGAGCAGCCTCCAGACCCCTCTCCCTGCTTCCAGTCTCTCCCTTCAATAATTCATCCTCCACATAGCTGCCAAAATCATCTTCTGAAAGGCTCAGATGGGATTGTTGTGACCCAAAGGCTTTCAATGGCTCTTACAGCAAGGATAAAATGAAAAGTCCTTAGCTTTGCCACATAAAGAACTCCACTATCTAGATACCATACACCTTTCCAGACTTATTTAGCATTATGTTTTAGGGAGGGTAGTTCTGAGAGGTGAATCAGATAACTGGAGAAACAAGTATTTTTAACAAAGGTTTTGATAAAGTATCTCATGTAATTGTTGTGGGGAAAAATGGAGGAATGGGAGCTAGATGATAACACAATTAAATGGATTTGGAACTGAAAGATTGGATTCAGAGTCATTGTTAAAATGGCTAAGGTAACATTTAATGGGCAGCTAGGTGGACAGAGCACTGGGCCTGGAGTTAGGAAGACTCATCTTTCTGAGTTCAAATCTGGCCTCAGACACGTACTAGCTATGTGACCCTGGGCAAGTCACTTAACCCTGTTTGCCTCAGTTTTCTCATCTGTCAAATAAGCTGGAGAAGGAAATGGCAAACCACTCCAGAATCTTTGTCAAGAAAACCTCAAATGGGATCACAATAAGTTGGATACAACTGAACAACAATAACAACATGTAATAGGGGTAAATGCAAAGTATTGTATTAGGCTTGAAAAAATTTACTTCAAATAGAACATAAGATGAAGCATGGTGAGATAGCAGTTTGCCTAAAAAATATCTTTGGGTTTTAGTGGGCTACAAGCTCCCCGTAAGCCTGTATGATAGCCAAAATAAAAACCAATGTGACCTTGAGAGGCATTAAGAAACTCACTGCCTCCAGAAATAAAGGAGTTGAAAGGCCCAGTGTACCCTGTTCTGACCATGTAGGACCATAGGTCCAATGTTGAGAGCCACCCCAGAGATCATTGCATTCAAGGCCCACATTTTACAGGAAAGGCCTAGGAAGGCAGGTCACCTGGGTAGGAAGCATCTGAGGAGAGGAGAGTGTTTAGTTCTAGAGACTATAGTTTAAGAAAGATGTTGATAAGCTGATGAGAATGCAGAGGTCAGCCAGGATGGTGAAGAACATTCTATGTCTTATGAGGACTGGTTGAGGGAACTGGCAAGTTTTAGCTTAGAGAAGAGAAAACATTGGGGGAAAGAGGTGAGAGGGAGGAAGACAAATTAGGCTTGTATCATTTGACCCCAGAGGGTAGAGCTCAGAAAAATGGGGAAAAGTAGAAAAGAGGTACATTTAACTTGATGTCAGAAATAAATTCCTATTGTTCATAGGAATGGACTGCCTCTGGAGGTTGGAGGTAGGAAGTACTCCTCCTTTGAGCTAGACCCTCATTTTTTGGAGTATGTTGTAGTGATTTTTCTTGTGCATGCGTGAGCAAGTGTGTGTGTGTGTGTGTGTGTGTGTGTGTGTGTGTGTGTGTGTAAGAGAGAGAATGAAAGAGAAAGAGAGAACGAGAGAGGGAGAAAGAATGAGAGAGAGGAAGACAGAAAACAAGAGAGAGGAAGGGGGAGGGAGGGTGTGTGTGTGTGTATGTGTGTGAGCAGTGTCATGTAGGAGAAAGAGCACTAGACTTGGAGTTGAGAAGACGTGAGATCAAATCCTACCTCAGACACTTATTAGCTGTGTAAGCCTAGGTAAATCACTTATCTCTCTGTGCTTCATTTCTCATCTATAAAATGAGGGAGTATTATTCCATGAACTTGAAGGTTCCTTCCAGCTCTAAAACTATACTCTATGGGGCAGCTAGGTGGCACAATTGGATAGAGCTCTGGGCCTGAAGAAAGAAAGACCTGAGTTCAAATGTGACCTCAGACATTTACCAGCTGGATGACCTTAGGCAAGTCACCTAACCCATTTACCTCAGTTTCCTCAACTGTAAAATGGGGGTAATAACAGCAGCTACCTCTCAGGGTTGTTGTGAGGATCAAATGATATAAAATTGTAAAGAGCTTAGCATAGTGCCTGGCACATAGTTGGCGCTTAATAAACATTTATTAATTGATTCTGAAACAGAGAAGGTCAGAAGTTAGAAGCCAAGAACCCCTCTCTCCGTACATATTTACTCAGACTTTTGAGGTTAGGAAGCTAAAGAAGCCACCCTTTAAACAGTCACAAAGCCCTCCCGAGTTGAGGCTTCTTTAAGAACAGGGCAGGCCTGAGAGAACTTTCACCAGGTTTTAAACTTCCTACCTCATCCCTCCTTTTGGAGCTCCCCACTGTTTTTATTGACCTAAAAAGGGCCCTGCCCTGCCACTCCCCACGTATCTCATCACTACCAGTTTACCGACTGACCACACCTCTGTCTCACTTCTGTCACCTGTTGGGCTCACCCAACCAGGTGAAATCCTCACTCTTGCTTCTTCCCTTCCCAGCCCTGACTTGTTTCTCCTCCTGCTCCTCCCACCCCTACCCCTCAGCATGGTTTGTACTCTGCCGACTTTCACCCACCACGAGGCTCCAAATGCCAACCCACGCCCTTGCCACAAACAGCATCACGACTGTCCCTGCCCCTACACTCTGGCCTCTGCTTTTCTCTCTCAGCTGCCCTTTTGAACGGAAATAACAAACGACCCCCCCAATTGTTCCTGACCTCTATTCTAAACAAATATATGTATGTGTGTGTATATGTATATACATATGTATGTGCATACATATACAGTGTTCAGCCTAAATATAAAGATAACAAATATATATATGTGTGCATGTGTATATATTGTAATCCTTTAAAGTAAGCAAAACAGTTTGCTCTCTATAGCCCTGAGAGGAAGGTAGCCTCCAAATTATTCTCTGCCCTCAATATTAGTAATAACTAATAATAAATTATTATATTATATATAATTATCTTGTGATATATACAACTATATACAATCATATGATATATTATTATATAATACATGATAGATTATAATATAAAAATTATACATTTTGCTAAAATAATAAACAATAAATTAATAAATATGGTGCTCTGAGACTTACAAGGACCAGGTAAGGCAGATCCTACAAGTCCTATCCCCATTTTACAGATGATAGAACCATAGAATCCAAAACATGCACCTGGAAGGGACCTCAGAACCCAAATATTCTAGCCACTTCATTTTACAGCATGTCCCAAAAGTTTTAGTGTGGTCTTCAGCTTTTATAGCCTAAATGAAATATAAGCTTTCGTAGCCTAAGACTGCACTAAGACTTTTGGGACACCCTCCATAAATCAGAAAATTGGGATTTCAGAAAGGTTCAGTGACTCTGCTCACATGTCACCCAGCTAGAGGTGTTAGAGCTGTGATTCCAATCCAAGTTTCTTGCTGCTACACGATCCTACCCTCCACTGACCTCACCGCTTCTAAATGAGATCAATCCAACAGAAGCATATGCATGGACTCAGTTTCTGGATCTCTCCCATCCCCCACAGGCCAAATGCAAAGTCAATCGGTTAGGAAGGCCTGGGTATAATGGATAGAGAACCAGCCATGGAGTCAAGAAGACAGGTCCTGAAGTCCTGCCTCTGGCCCTTCCCTACCAGGGCTGGGTGACTGTAGACAAGTGCTCCTGGGAAGAGAGTGGGTGTAATCTGCCTTGGAAGAGGGAGTTTCCATACTGGTTTGGTTGTTCACTACATCAATGAGATCACAAGTCTGCTCCAAGTATTCCTGTCCTGTTGCTTCTTGACTCAGCCCAGGATTAGTAATCAGAAGACCTAAAGCCTGGTCTGAATTGTACCACTTCTTGGCTACGTGGCCTGGGACAAGGCCCTTCTTACCTCCAGGCCTCTGTTTTTCACCTGTAAAATCAGAAAGTTGGACTAGACATAAGAATATAGAATCATAGACTGAGAGTTAGAAGGGACTTTAAGAGTTAACGCTCTCACGCCATCCAACCTTTTCATTTTAGAAGGGAGAAGATGAAGGCCCAGAGACATCAAATTCTATGAACGTAAGTCACTAAATCACTTAACCTTTGGAGCCTCAGTTTCTTCCTCTATAAAACAGGAGCAATAATATTTGTGCTGCCTACCTCACGACACCCCTGTGCCTGTGAGGCTCAAGGATGGAATGCAGGTGGAAAAATGTACCCCCATGAAGCAAGCACTCTCTAAAAGTGAATTATTATTATTATTATTATTATTATTATTGCATTTGTATCAGGAGAGGAGGTGGAGACAACTCTGGTAACATCATCGCAGCAGGTATCCTTACAGATGATTGTGTGAAATATTATAAAAAGCTATAAAATGTGTTTGTTTCACTGGGGACAGGCCCAACTGCACCCTGGACTGTCAGAGATATGATAAAGGCCTAATTCCAACGTGTTCAGCCCTGCTCAAAGGAGCTTGGGGGGATAGGGAAGGGAAGTAGAAAGGAAGCAGTGAATAGGTGCGGCCAGGGGATTTCTTGAGTTTGTAAGAGGAAAGAGGAAAGTTCAGAATGAAGAAATAAATCCTTTGACCGAAAGGAAGGGAAAGTTCCCTGACACAGCTTTTCTGGTTAGGGTTCAATGATACATGCTGCTTTTCACCTTCCTTGTAAGATTTAAGACATGCTGACTCACTAGACTGGGAGATAGCTCCTGTATGCAGGAAGGTCAGGTTCTAAGCCCAGGAGCCCTGTCTGGGATCTAAATGTTGAATTCTGGGATGCTGGGGGCCAAGGAGAGATTCTGACACAGTGTGCTCCAGGAAACCTCCCTCCTATCGGTTCCCCTTCTCTCCACCCACATAATCACCACCCCATTTCAGGCCCTCATCACTTCTGGCCTGGACTATTGCAATAACCTTCTAATTGGTCACCTTGCCTTCGTTCTCTTCCCCCTTTCCACAACACCCTCCACAAAGTTGCCAAAATGGTTTTCCTAAAGCACCAAAGGTTCCAATGGTCCCCAAATTGCCCTTAGGACACAGTACAGTTCCTCTGTTTGGCATTTATAGCCCTTCAGAATCTTGATCTGGCCTGTACGTGACTTCCCTTCATGCACCCAGCTTCCTTTGAGTCTCATCTTCTGCAAAAATACCTTTCCCAATCCTACTCAGTCTTGGTACTTTCCTCTGAGACCTCTCCCAGTTTATCTCAATTGTATATATCTTTCTGGTATTTAATTGTTTGCATGCTATCTCCTCCATTAGACAATGAGCTATTTGAAAACAAGGATCAGTTTTTGTTTGTTGGCTTGTTTTGGGGTTTTTTTTTTTGGTTTTTTTAACCTTTCTTTGGATTCCCCAACACTTCGCACAGTACTTGGCACACAGTAGATACTTAATAAATACAAGTTACCTGATTGACCTTCTGTTCCTGTCAAATTGATCTCCATGCTGTTCACTGAACAGGACATTCTATCTCCAGCTTCTGAATCTTTGCATGGGGCTGATCTCTATGGGGACCGAGCATCCACCTAGAAGTATCTTTCTGACCCAAGAACTCCCTGACGGTGTCACTCTCCAGCTGGTCCCGTCTCTCTCAGGCAAATGGTAAACAGCATCACTGCTTAATACAACTGAGATGACCACACAGACCCCTCCTGATTCTCAAGGCCATCCTGTCCAAACCTCTTTAGGGCAAGGAAAGGACAAGGAGACCTGTGACCCGATTCCTCTATTTGTAGGTGTGATTTCAAAGCCTTTCTTGGCCAGACATCTCCCCTGCTCAGAATTAAATGAGTTTTAAAAAGAAAAACAACATTCTGACTGCTTTCAATACTACAATCCAGCAGAGCCATTCAGTTGTTTTTCTCACTGTCTATATAGAGAGAAAGTGACTTAGCCTAAGTATAACATGGAATCAAAATTTAATTAACTAAGAGAACCAATCCAGATAATTTAATTCCCCCAAAAGCTGGTTTTCACCCCCCCCCTCCCTTTCCCCCCCCCCCCCCCCCCCCAATGGGATTTTCTGGGCCTGATTTATCTGGCTTATTTCCTTAACTCTCCAAGTCTCACCAATATGATCACAGCCCGAAGCTACATGGAGAAAATAATTTCCTTAATCTAATAATAGCTCACATTTATATAACACTCTTAGGTTTACAAAAGTTTTTTTCCTCTCAATAACCCTTAGAGACAGGTTGCCATCCTTTGTCCTAAGTAATAACAATTCAAGTTTCCATAGTGCCGTTGTAGGTAGTAGAAATAGAATTAGCCTTATTTTCAGATGAGAAAACAGTGTCAGAAAGGTTAAAATGACTTGCTCAGGGCCACACAGTCAGTTTATGGTAGATGTATGGGGCATGAACTTGGGTCTTTCTAATTCCCTGGGCCAAACATCCTCACCTAGACCTCATTTTCCAGGAATAAGAGGCAAGTTTTATATATTCAGCTTTAAACTTACAGAATTAGCTTATTTGTAGAACTGAAATCTCAAGGTTAAAGAATTGAGATGGGAGTATAACATGGTAGACAGTGTGGTACAATGGGAAGCATACTGGATTTGAAATCAAAGGGCCTGGGTTCAAATGCTGGATCTTCCATTTACCACCTCTATAAACATAGGCTCCTTGACCTTCCTGGGCCTCAGTTTCCTCATCTGTAAAATGAAGAAATTTAACTGACATTAAAGGTCTCTTCCAGCTCTAAATCTATTAAACTATGGGCTAGGACAGAATTTAACCAACAAAGCAAAATATTAGGAAACAGCTGTCATTTAAAATGGAAAATGAGGGCCCCTGGAGACTTTAAAGTTTATCTTGCCAACCTCCTTATTCTATGGATGAGGAAACCTGAGGCCCAGAGATAGTTACTGAACTGGAAGACTTACTCAAATACATGAAGAAGCTGTGATTTCAACATTTATGGACTTCCCTAGGCAGGCACTCCCTCCACCAATACAGATAGCAACTATCTATGACTTCAGAGACAAATCCTAGGGGAAGGAGAAGGGAGGAAAGAGAACAATCTTTTATTAAGTCCCTACTATGTGCCAGAAACTGTGCTAAATACTTTACACATATATTATCTCATTTTAATCTCATAATAACCCTAGGAAGTAGGTGACATGATTATCCCCATTTTATAGCCAAGGAATTTGAGGCAGGCAGAGGTTATGTGACTTACCCAGGGTTACACGGCTAGTAATGTCTGAGACTAGATTTGAACAGGGGTCTTCCTGACTTTGGACCCTCTATCCACTGTGCCACCTACCAGCTTAGGGAGTTGCTGGCGATAGATGGAGGTTAAATGAATTATCCAGAACCATATAACCTGTATCAGGGACAGAATTTGAACCCAGCTCTTTCTGACCCCAAACTCAGGACTCTCTCCAATATGCCATCATTTAATAGCCTAGATAAATGGAAAGCTTGCCATTTTAAAGCTTATGAGGGGAAAACAAAGAATCAGACTGAACAAAATATTATTTCAGCTTCATCTTAGTTTGGAAAAAAATTGATGAGTACTCAATAGTTTTAGAAAACATAGTATCTTTGGAGACAGGGAGGCTAAGGGTTGGCTTTTTTTTTTCAGCTGCTTCACTGGGTATTTGGAAGAGAAAGTACTTGGATCAGTTCTTGGGACAGCAACACCTCACAGACCTGGTATCATGGTATATTTCATGCCTCATAAAGGAATCCTTCTAATAACTGAAGATTTAAGAACCAACTTTTTTTTATTCCAATGATTTTTGATAGAAAATGTTTTAAAATATATCCTACCCTTCCCTCCCTTCCTAACCAGAGTCCACTGAACCTACGAAATTTGACCTTTCCTTAAGGAGTACAAGTCATTATTATGAACATAAGTTACTGTTCCCTGCTCTAATACAGTAACACTTTGGGAGCTTATGGAAATCTGTAGGGACATTTGACCTTAGACTCATTGGCCCCAGGCTGCTGTTCTTTTTGAGTCTTTATTTCATTTTCCTACCTCCTCCCTCAATGTCAGGGTCCGAAAATCATAAGTATAACCCAAGTCCCAAAGAAGATCAATGCCCTATAGCCTTGTTAAGGGGAAGGGGTGGAGTTGCCGAGAGTGAAAGAGAGAAGTCTTCAGTTTCTTCTTTTCCATCAGGTCTCCTGAGCCGTTTCGGGTGCTTCTGACTTCCATATTCCAGAGAGAAGATGAAAAATGCCAACCCTACTACAGGTGCTGAAGAGACAATAAGACTCTGGGAAGAAGCTGACGTGAGAATGGTTAGAAGCCTTCATCATGTTCCTAGCCCTCTGCTTGCAATACAAGAGACCAGGGAATTTCCCCCTACATGAGATCTGGGACTCCCTTTCTTGGTTTAGCTGCTTCACCTCCTTCTCCTGTGCATACTTTCTCTGACTTCTATTTTGCTACTAACTTGGATAAATGGGTTTCTTTGCTACCTGCTATGTGTTTGCCCATTGTGGAACAGGTATTTGGTGGGAAGGAAGTCAAGCTTTAGATAGAGAGCTTGGGTTCCTCCTTTCCCCATTAAGAAATAGTCATCAGGAAAAAAAAAAAAAAAGATGGGGCAGCTAGGTGGAGCAGTGGATTGAGCACTGGCCCTGAAGTCAGGAGGACCTGAGTTCAAATATGAGCTCAGACCAAACACTTGATGCTTACTAGCTATGTGACCCTGGGCAAGTCACTTAACCCCAAATGCCTAAAAAAAAAAAATAAAATAAGAAAAAGTCATCAGGGGAGAAGCTAGGTGGTACAGTGAATAGAGCACTTGCCTTGGAGTCAGGAGGACCTGAACGGCCTCAGACACTTGACACTTACTAGCAGTGTGACCCTGGGCAGGTCACTTACCCCTATTGCCTTGCAAAAAAAAAAAAAAAGAGTGATCAGAAGTTTAGCCTGAATCTTAAAATCATATCCTCTAGTCTAACAATATTTAAGGGAGTAAATAAATATCATTCTAGCCCAGTACCCTCTCTGTCCCTCTCTCTCTCTCTGAAGAGACAGAGCGGTCCCCAGCCCCACTCTCTTGTCTCTCATCTTGGCAGGAAATAAAGTCTCCCTTGGAAAAGGGAATAGGGGACAGAAGTGGCTAGAGATGTCTATTCTGCCTCCTTTTGACCCATACAAGAACTGGAAGGACCTTCAGAGATTATGTAATGCAGCCTTCTCATTTTCTCTTCAATTTGACATTTCATCTGTAGTGGGAACTCTCAATATGGAAACTCCATCGATGCAGATTGGCAACATGTCTTAGAGTAGAGGTTCTTAACCTGAAGTCTGTGAACTTTAATATATATATATATATACACACACACACACACACATATATATATACATATATATGTATTTCAGTATAGTGGCTTTCCTTTGCAATCCTATGCATTTTGTTTTATGCTTTTACGACAGAAAGGGCTCAAAGGTTCTCTTGACTAACAAAGGGATGGGATCTTGACACTAAAAAAAAAGTTACACCGTCTTAAAGAGGTGCTTGGGATATTAAGAAATTAAATTACTTGCCCAAGGTCTCGCATCTAGAACTAGTTGGAGAGCAGAACCAGAGCATCCTGACTCCTGAATCTGTCTACATCCACTATTCCACCTCGCCTTTCATTTTATAGATAAGGAAACTGAGGCCTGGAAAAGTCATCATTTCTCCCAAAGTTCTTGCAACAGTAAACAGAAGAGGCGGATCTTGAACCCTCATCCTCTGTTTCTAAATTCATGCTTTTGCTGCTGCTGTGTTGTTTCAGTGGAGTCTGACTCTCTGTGACCCCATTTGGGGTTTTCTTGGCACAGATACTGCGGTGGTTTGCCATTTCCTTCTCCAGCACTTTGACTTCTACACCCTGCTATCTCTCTCATGCACTTTCAGTAGTCACTTAGAGTAATCAGAATGCCCATCTGGGTCAGCTTCTCCCCATCTCTTTTCCAACTTGTCCTCTCTTACCTCCTATGGACTGGAAAAATCAGATCTCATCAGGCTTATTAGAATCATGTTTAAAATAAGAGTATAATAACTCTAAATGAGGGCCCAAGGGGCCTCACCTATGAGTCAAAAACATGGGGTCTGGGGGAGGGAGGAGGACTTTTGTGACATCTAGCTTGACAGTCTCTTTTAAGTTTATCAGCTTTATTCCAGATAGGAGTGTTAGGCAGATGAGTGGTCCTGCATTCAGGCTGAGCTGAGTTCACAGAGAACAATTTTGTGCAACTCTATCTCATTTCTGATTCTGCTCCAGGTCCTTCCAGGAGAAAAGTGCACTGGTGCAAAGGTCTCTTAATAGTGAGGCCCTGCCTTCTTTAAGAATTCCCTCTGCTCCCCAGGTCTTCGTGGGTGGGGCTTGGAACAACATAGAATCTAGGCCCTTGCTAGTTCATATCCTCCTTTGGCCCGTGCTCCTGTTAGCATTCTCTTGGGGCCCCAGCTGGTTGTCATCAAAAATGCTACTTTTGGCTCAGCTGCCCTCATTTGAGCTTCCCGGGGGAATTCTATCGCCTGCCTGCAAGGAAGGGTTAGGCAGGGGAGGCAGGTTGTAATGTGGGACTAGACAAGTTAGAGTATTTTGTATTTCTAAAATGTTTGCTATCTATCTTTCCTCCCTATGTGATTCCTGGGATTCCTTTCTCCTTTAATCTCCAAATAGAATGCTGCCGACCCTTGGGTCAGAGACTGGCATGACTTTAAGGGACCTAACACTTATGGGGAATTTCTCACTTCTCTTATTTGTAGGCTTTACCCAGAAAACCTGGCGAAATCCTATCTGACACCACCCCACATACTGATGCCAACTCCGTCTGATGCATATAGTTTATGATATAAAGAAAGGTCAAACAGCCCCAGAGAAGGGATGAAAAAAATGAACTTCCCCACCTCCTTTGCAGAAGTGGTGGGAGATTACTTGTAAAACATTGCTTACGCTGGTAGGGTTGATGTAATTGGTTAGTTTTTCTGAGCCGCTTTTTGGGGAGGGGTTGGGGGCAGCTATTTAAAATACTTAGCCGCAAGAAATGGCCCTGGGGGAGGGGAGGAGAGAGGGATATATTTGAAAATGAAGGTGGTGTCAAAACAAAAGGTATCAATGAAAATATTTTAAAGAAAGGTCTAGCTTTGTTTTAAAAAATAGGAATTGGGACCAGACCAATGATTTCATTGGTTATGGGGAACTCCCCAGAGAAGAAACTCTTTCTATCAATGCACGTTAGCAGCCTTTCTGGACACCTGCAGACTTAAAGAATTGCCTAGACCCAGGGTGGGTAATGTGCAGCCACATGTGACCCTCTAGGTCCTCAAGTACAGCCCTTTGACTGAATCCAAACTTCATGAAACAAATTCACAGAACAGAATTTGTTCTGTTTCCCCTGGCAGGTTCTCCATCTAAGGTATTGAGAGGTTAAGTTCCTTGCCAAAAATCCTACAACCAGTGGGTACCAGGACTCGAAGTGAGGTCTTCCTGGCTTCAAAACCACCTCTCTCTCCACAATGCCCTTATGCTGAAAAAAATGAGGCAAACAAAATAAAACCCTTGGAAAAGAGATGGAATCCTTCCATGAGCCACTGATCTTCTCAGAAAAGACTGATGTCAATTGCCAGTCATGATCTCCAACATCAGGATGGTTTGGGAAGTTGTCCTTACAGCTGTGGGACTTTCATTCTCTCATCTGATTTGAGTGATCTGACTTCTTTTGATGTCCTTTGCACCCCTCACCCCCTTGTTCCCCAGGTGTTGTTCTTTGCAGGCTTTTCCTTCAGTTAGTTCTACGCTGGGCTCCAGGCAAAGTTCCTTCTCAAGGCTCTGGAGTTCGCTATTGTGCCCAGCAGAAGGTCCTACCTGTGGCTTTCTCACGCCTTCACATGAATGTCTTTTGGCCAGAAAAGGCCAACCAAAAAGCCCCCACCAAACCCCAAACCACCTCTTTTGTCATTGGGTTTCTTCATTGTCACCATGGGAGAGGGAGCTCGAGAGTTCTGGTCTGGCAGGAGTTAGAATGGAAGCTCCCTAAGAGCAGGACTTATTTCATTCACTGCATTTGTATCCCTAGTGCTGAGGTAAATATTTAATAAATACTGGCTGTGCATAATCAGAACTCTCAAAGACTAACTGGGATTTTATATTCTGTGATGTTGTTAACCCAGTTCAACAAGCATTTGTTACAGGTCAGTTCTATACATAGCATCGTATGCTTGCCTCAATGATAACACCATGCTTCAAAAGATGGGCAAAACCATGAGGGGAAAATCCTGCTTGGGACTGATTCATTGGAAATAAGAAAACTTTGGGGGACAACGGTCATTCCACCGTAGAATTGGTGATTGAAAAGATGAGGAAAGCTTAGCATAGTGAGTACCATACGTGTAAAGGGGAGGATTTATACCCCAACCACAATTAGTGTAAACGAGGGAGGCCCAGACTTCTCAGCTGAATTGGTGGAATGTGTAAGCAAGCCCTTAATTAATTTGGGAGGAAGGAAATGCTTTGGTCATTAAATGAAAACAGAGGACACCCTGTTGTTGCCGTCCAGTCACGTCCTACTCTTCGTGATTCCATGGACCAGGTCCTTCCATTCTCCTCTCTCTCACAAAGTCTGTCCAAGTTCATGTTCATTGTTTCCATGATGCTGTCTATTTCATCCTCTGCTGTCCTCTTTTCATTTTGCCTTCAATCTCTCCCAACATCAGGGATGACACCCTGTAGGAAATATTTCAACCAGTTAGTTGAAGAGGATCAGCCATGCCTTGTGAGGTCAAATATAACAAAGGAAGCCAGTTCAAAAGCACCCAATCCAGAAGTAAAACAGTTAAGCTTCTGGAGCTTCTAGGCTCAGGAGCACCCTGAAGAGGGAGTTCCTTGTGTCTGGACCAAAGTGGCAGCAAAGGGATTACAGAATGAAGACAGAAGGAACATTATACTTCTCCTTCCCACTGACCAGGTGACAACCTTGTGAACTTGGAAAATTCAGAAGATCTGGAGTTCCCCTTGGCCTACTTTCCTAAGCAACACGATCCCAGAATCTACCCTTTTAACAGACAAGGGAGATTTTGGAGGCCTGGGTGTGGCTTTGAGGGTAACATCAAGTTCAAGAGTTTTGGAGATTTGACCTTCTAGAGAGAGAAGAGGAGTTCCTCAGGATCATGTCTCTTGGAGAAAGAGGATCAACCATATTGCTCAATGGCTAGAGATGAACAGCATGGATTGATGATAAGAGGTGGGGGGTGGACAGCTTTGGGGGAGGGGAATGGATCAAGAGACAGAAGCCTTGCCACCACTCCTCTATTATATTTGGACAATATTGACCTGATGAACAGTGCCATATGGCAGCCATAAAGTGTATTTGTCTTTAGCAAGATAAAGTTTAAGATCCCAACGATGCTGGAGAGAGGCTATGTAAAAGTCTGTTAAAATAATTTTATAAAAATGAAATTCCAAAGACACAAGGAGAAAAAAATTCTATGAGGTAGTTGTCTAACTCAGCAGCATCAGACTCAACTAGAAAAAGGGGCCACTAAACTGTATACAAGGATCCTTGCCAGCAGCATATTGATTTAGAAAGCCACATAGTAACATTATCTTTTTTTTTCCCTTTTGTTAAATATCCCCAATTACTTTTTTGGGGGGGTGGGAAGAATCAGGGTTAAGTGACTTGCCCAGGATCACAAATCCAGGGCTGACTTTGAACTCAGGTCCTCCTGACTCTGGGGCTAGTGCTCTATCCACTGCACCACCTTGCTGCCCCTCCCTAATTACATTTTGCTGAGGCTCACAGACTACAGGTTGCATAGGGAGTTTATCAATCAGGCCAGATTTTTAAAAGATAGGTACAGAAGACGGAAGCAAGGGCAGGTAACAGAGTATGAATACAAAATTGTGGCAAGATCTTTTAAGAATAGTGTAGGAGTCCTACAGGTCAGAAAGACCTGAAGTTAAGGAGGAAAGCTAAAGACAAAATAAGTGATGGAAGGAGGGCTTCATTGGGCATATGAAAAGGCTCAAAGAAATATCAGCAACACTTCTTAAGATGGATGGGGCCATGGTATCTGAAATTGATAGAGAAAATGTACAGTTGATCAACTTGTTTTACTTCTGTCTCTGCCAAGGAGAATAATCTTTGGATTGCCAAGGATTTGGATTGCAAATATAGCTAATAGGGGGCTGATATCCAAAATAAGTAAGGAGAGTTCCTCTTTACCTCTCTTGGATTCATTTGGTGACTCCTTAGCTCATGGAGACACTACCCTATACTCTTAGGGCTTTCTCCCCTCTGAGGACACATGCCCCCCCAAAATAGGCCTCAGTCCTTGCCCTTTGCATTTGTAATTTTCCACCCTAAGTAAAAGGAGTAGAGTCTCATGACCTAGTACATTTGAAAGATTGTCATGAAGGTGCTCCAGCAGGCCAGCATTTATACAGTGCTTTAAGGTTTACAAAGCACTTTATATGTTATCTGAGGTAGGCACTATTATGATCCCATTGACAATTGAGGAAACTGAGGTTGAAAAGAGTCAAGTGACTTGCCCAAGTCATGCAACTAGTATCTGAGGCTAGATTTGAACTCAAATTTTCCTGACTCTAAGGCCAGTACTTTACCCATAAAGGAGTCAAAGATCTATATATCCAGCCCTAGTCTCTCTCCTGAACTATAGTCCCAAATCACCAACTGCCTTTTGGACCTCTGGAACTATATGTCCTGTAAGCATCTCAAACTCAATAAGTCCCGACTTCGCTATACTGTCAAGTGCACCTCCATCCTCATCCAGGCTCACAGCCTCATTGACAACCTCTCCTTAGTCTCATTCATCCGATATACCCAATCTGTTGTCAAATTTGTTGTTTCAACCTTTATAGCATCTCTTACATGTCCCCTTCTCTCCTCTGACACAGAAACCACCCTCGTTCAGGGGTGATTATTATTTCAGTAATTATGTATTATTATATTATTTCAGTAGCCTTATAAATGGGCTACCTGCTTCAAATCTCTTCCCATTTCATTTCAACTCATCCTCCACGGAGTTGTCAAAGGAATTTTCCTAAATCATAGGTCTAATCATGACATTCTTCTACTCAATGAACTTCAGGAGTTTCGTATCACCCCTCTGATCAAACATAGAGGCCTCTGTTTGGCATTTAGAGCTCTTCACAACCTGGGCCCTTCCTACTTTACAAGTCAACAAGAAATAGTAATTTCTGGCTGAAGGAAACAGGAGGAGAAGGGGTCACGAGGCTGGCCACTCTGCTCTCTTCAGAGAGGGACCAGACAAAAATGATATCTATCTGCATATAAATACCGCTAGTCGAGGGGAAGGACTTTTTTCTCTTAGGTTTAAACTTCTTTCTTGGTCACTATCCTTTAAAGAGGAGGAGGTGCCCCAAGGTTTTAAGGCTTGACTTCTTCCCACCAAATGCCAATTACACAAAAGACCATCACAAATAGTGAATAACGTGTAAATCCATTTATTCAAGCATACAGACAACAGAAATAACAGAAGTTACATGGCTTAGAATATACCAGACAATACACAGAGTAAATGAGATCTCCCACTGGAAGTAAGCTATCTCCGCTCAACAGAGAGAGAAAGAAGCTTCAGTCTTACCTAAGGGGAAATTCCTCAAAGTCTCTAGGGAGTCAAATAGAAAATCAGGAATATGCTGAAGAGTTAGGTGCCCTACATGTGTTCCTTCCAAGATCTGTAATCATGTGTATCTTTTTTTAAGGCAAGAAAGAAGAATGTCTCTCCTCCCCAAACCTTAGTCCCAACTTCTCCTCTCCTCTCATATAGGCATACAGTATAGAGGCATCACCAATGAAAAGAGTCTCATGCAAATGCTCCAGGCATGAGACCTGGGTTACATACATAACAAATACATAAGAATAGTGCAAAGTACTATCTGAGGTCCACAGGAGGAAATATTTTCTTGCCTTGGGAACATCAGAGAGAAGTTTCCTTGAGGA